GACTTAACGGTCAGCAGTGATGGCAACATTAACGGTGTTAGGGGAGGGACGACAACGAACAAGAAAAACGAAGTAGAGGGACGACGTTTGGCTCTTTGGTAGAGTAGAGGGACGACGTTTGGCTCTTTGGTAGAGTAGAGGGACGACGTTTGGCTCTTTGGTAGAGTAGAGGGACGACAACGAACATGTCCTTAGTAGAGGGACAAGAACGAATAAAATATTAAAGTAGAGGGACGATAATTGGCTTTAAACCCAATATTTATCTAATAATGCTTGAAATTTTATTTATTTAATAAAACTCTCAAAGTTTTTATTCAAATTATCGATGATAACCATGTAATTCGAACACCCATTCTCCATGTCATGGAGCAAAAACTCTTCCACTTGAGATGTAACCTTCTATTTGCAAATTTTTCCTTTACAGTATATTTATTTTATTTTTAAAACCACAATTATATTAAAATTCGTTCTCAAGGACTTGTGATCTTTCACATAAAGAATCAACCTCCAATTGCACCAAACAAACACTGCCGTAAATGTTTTACAAAATAATATATTTTTAGTATTTGAATCAACTCGGTGATTTTTTCTGTTAAACTAGTTAAATCATTCAAATCATAAATTAAAAGTCAAGATAGTTTGACCTCTTATTCAAGTTGAAAAACATTGACCGTAACTAAAAGCCAACTGTAGTTCTCGTGCTTTGTGAAAATATTCATTACCATCTCTCTATTAAAAAAATGTTCAATGTCATCCCTCTACTATAATTTTTTTGTTCAATGTCACCCTTAATTAGATGCCATCTACATTTTCATTAAATTTGACCATTAATTACCTAACTGTCAAACATATAACTATTGTTTATTAATTTTTTATTCCACCTAATATGACTAGTGGGACCAATTTTTTTTGCTAAAATAGGCATTTAACCTCTCACCTTAATAAGTTTGAAGTTTTTTACATATTACCTTACATTATGAAGGTTTTAACCTTTGAATTTAAAATTTTGAAGATTCTAGCTTTTAAATTAACAAAATCCATTAACTCTAGGTTAAAATGAGAATAAAATATTTATAGAACTAGTCATCAAAGATTAAAAATGTAATAAGTTAATTTTAAAAGTTTAAAACTTTAAAAAATTAATAAATTAAAAGTAAGTAGAAGATAACTTTGTCATATACACAAGAATAATATTAAATATCTATAATTAAATCTACTTATTAACTTAATTTAAAGAAAGAAATCTGACTAAAATTAAAAAAATTTCTTATCTATATCTTTCTAATCTTTTGAATTTTTTGTTTTAATTCAATTAAGAGATTTTTTTAATCTCAGTTAGAATCCTTTCTTCAAATAATTGAGTTAATCACTTAATTTGATTATAAATATCTAATATTGTTCTAGTATATATAAAAAAATATCTATTAATTTTTTTTAGTTTATTTAATTTATTTAATTTTTAAACTTTTAAAACTAAAATTTTACATTTTTAATATTTAAAAATTAATTTTATAACTATTTTATTCTCATTTTAATAAAAAAATTTAATCGATTCCATTAGTTTAGAGTTAAAGTGAAAAAGAAAAATATGTAACCAAAAAAAAAAAAAAAAGAAAGGAAGTGGTCCGCTTTAACCGAACATACTATACCATCGATGAACAAAGCCAAAGGGTCGAAGTTTTCTTTGGATAAAAAGGGTGAACTCGCCAAAATTGAGGGACCAAAAAAAGGGTTCAACACTTTAACCGCAAAGAAACACGGATCACTTCCATTTCCCCACAATTTGGCCCATCAGCTCCGCAGCGCCTCCGCTTAAAACCTTTTTCCCGCAAACCTTGGTCTGCAGACTAAAAAATCTACAGGGTTTTGACCAAGTGAGGTTTTCACGGTGACCGCCGACTGCCATGTACCGGACAGCAGCTTCGCGTCTCCAGGGTCAGTGCGGTAACTGAACTTTAACTTCTCCAATCGTCAAAAACCCTAATTCTTGAGACTTCATGATTTGATCTCATCATCGTCAGAATATTTACCTGGAAGAAGATAAAGCTGCTCTGATTCGCATCTCCTGTAATCGTTGATCACTGATTGTTTAATCTGTTATCGCGTTTAGTTTTTAGTTATTAGATCTGCTCATCCTCAACTTGTAATCCTTCAATTAATTTTTCTCTGAATTAGAAAATGGAAATTGTAATCCATTTTTGGTTTCTGAGTGGGATTAGATTGAACCCAACTTAATTCTTTCTGAAATTATGCTACTTATTGAGATTGGGTCTGGTTTCGTTTTGATCTAGCAGAATGTATAATTAGCTTCAGCAATTCATAAGTTTTCAGACGACATAATCAGAATTGGAGATCGTAGTATTAGAATTCCAGTGTCAATGGTAGTTTTTTGTAGTAGAATGACACGTTTAAATGCAGTGAATTTTCTTCTGCTCCCTTTACATATTTTTGCTTTTGTTTGTGGGGACTTGGACGTCTACCAGAATTTTGATAATCTAGACTTGGCACATTTGGGGGGATTTCATGGTGTAGTTAGATTAGTCACCCCTTCTGCTAAGTGATTTGGTTCTATTTTGATTACGTGTTTAATGAAACTTATCCAGTGGATTTTGTCACCCATGGTTTGTCTGATTGAGTTTAAATGATCTATCTACTGAATGGTGAATGTAGGATCGTACATCCAGCAGGATACCAGCAAGGTTTGCAAGTTCAACAGCTGTTGCTACAAAATCATCTGGTCTCTTTAGTTGGCTGCTTGGGGATGGGCCCAAGTCTATGCCTCCTCTAGATTTTCCCCTTCCAGATGTTGCTCTCCCACCATCACTGCCAGATTATGTTGAGCCTGGTAAAACTAAGATCACTACTCTACCAAATGGTGTCAAAATTGCCTCAGAAACATCATCAGTACGTATTGCTATGCCTTTCTTTAAGGAATTATTTTTCTATGTGTGGCATTTTCTTCTTTAAGCAATTATTTTCTATTTTATCAAGGAGGCTGCTATTTGATTTATTCTCTCAAACAGAATCCTGCAGCTTCGATAGGGTTATATGTTAATTGTGGTTCAATCTATGAGGCACCAATTTCATTTGGGACCACACATCTACTTGAGTGTATGGCTTTCAAAATCACAATAAACCATAGCCATTTGTGGGTAGTGAGGGAAGTGGAGGCAATTGGTGGCAATGTGCAAGCCTCGGCTTCTAGGGAGCAGATGGCTTACACCTTTGATGCTCTTAAGACTTATGCTCCGCAAATGGTAGAACTACTTATTGACTGTGTGAGAAACCCTGCTTTCTTGGATTGGGAGGTCAATGAACAGGTAAAGTCCTTTATAATCATTATGTTCCTATGCTAATTAATTGCTTGAAATTTTAGATCAAATGTGAAACCTGAAATAGCTGAAGCTTCCAACAATCCTCACAGCTTGCTTTTGGAGGCAATTCACTCTGCTGGTTATACGGGGGCCTTAGCAAATCCTCTTCTAGCTCCAGAATCTGCTATAAATGGATTGAATGGTACAATTATCAAGGAATTTGTTGCTGTAAGTCTAAGAAAACCTGATATTTCAGTATTCTATATACGCCAATGCTGGTCATATCTTTTTCTTAAAATGTTTTGCCTAGATTTATCTATCTTCACTTGGTTTCCTGTCAAAATTTTAGGAAAATTATACTGCCCCTTGCCTGGTACTGGCAGCATCTGGGGTTGACCATGAGGAATTGTTATCAGTTGCAGAACCACTTCTGTCAGATCTTCCTAAAATTCCTCAACCTCTGGAGCCACAGTGTGTGTATGTTGGAGGTGATTACCGCTGTCAAGCTGATTCAGGGGTATGTATATTATAATTTGACAGAGTTGTTAGTTTTATCTTTATTTTTCATCTAAAGCTGAATTATTTTGTAGGATACAACTCATTTTGCTATTGCATTTGAACTTCCTGGTGGTTGGCACAAGGAGAAGGAAGCTATGGCTTTGACTGTCCTCCAGGTGCAGTCTCGCTTTTCTTTATCAAATCAATATGCCTGTTTCCCCACCCAACCACCCCAATTTCCTGATTTTCTTCAATGAACATCTGGTTAATAGTGTTATATTGTGGGTTTCAAGATGTTATGTCATTGCTTTGTAATTCATGTTTCTTTTGTACGGCCATTTCAAGAAAGAAAGCAATAATAAATCTTATCATACTGTAGATGCTATTGGGGGGAGGTGGATCATTTTCAGCTGGTGGTCCTGGAAAAGGAATGCACACAAGGCTGTGTAAGATCTTAAGCATATTTTATCCATAGATTGTGTATAGTGGGCTATTTTTCAAAAGCAGATGTTAATTTGCTTTATTATTTTATCAATGTGTAAGTCTTCTGAAACAATATCATTTATACTCACTTTTTTTACTTTTTCTGAAGTTGGTGCACAATTTTGTTTTGCTTATTTGCTGAGCAGATCTCTGTGTCTTGAATGAGTATCCCCAAGTTCAGTCATTTTCAGCATTCAGCAACATCTACAATCATAGTGGGATTTTTGGCATTCAGGCTACTACAGTAAGTCATCTCTTAAAATCTTCTGTTGTTTGTGTAGTTTAGGCAAATTAGTTTCTTGACATGAAATCTTGTACCCAACTGTTTCTTTATGGCAATTGTACTTAACAGAATTTTTGTAGTAAGCTTTCTTGAAGGTATCTAACAATCATATCTTTTGTGGGTTTACATTTTATTGATTCCTTTCACTAATGCTTGATAATAGCCATATAAATTTGTGATCCATGTCTCATGTTTATAATCTATGTTTTGTGTGGACCTTTCTGCTGAAAGCATTGTAGTCTTGGCAAGCATATTGATGATGTTTATCTTTATGGACTCAGAGTCCAGATTTTATACCAACGGCTTTTGATGTAGCAGCCAAGGAGCTTATTGCCGTTGCAAAACCAGGAGAAGGTTAGCTGCTTCTAAAGAAGGTTCTCATTAACATGTTGCTTTTTACCCTGTAGCTTTTTGCTTAGATAAATGCCCTTCATTCTCTGCTACCTGCAGTCAACCAGATACAACTAGATCGTGCTAAACAATCAACAAAATCTGCAATCTTGATGAGCTTGGAATCCAGAGTATGGAAACAAATTTTCTTTCATTTGTCAATTGTTGATTCATACTAAATTAATCTGGATGGGAATTCATATTCTGTAGTAAGTTATTGCTCTCATATGTGTACTTAATACTTATCACATGCATACTGCAGATGGTTGCCTCAGAGGATATTGGTAGACAAGTTTTGACATATGGGGAAAGGTATGACTTGAGACAATCCTGTTTCTGAGTTGGTTGACTTTGATTCTTCAGTGATAATTGGATATGGATTGCTATGTTGGTGGCTTATCACTGACCTCAATAAATTGCTTGGTCTGTGTATAAATAAGTAGATTGATGTTTTCTTTCATCCTTAGGAAACCTGTGGAACATTTCTTGAAGGCCGTTGAAGAAGTCACACTAAAAGATATTTCTACAACAGCCCAAAAGTCATCCCCTTTCACAATGGCATCATATGGAAACGGTATTTCAAAATCTAGAATGTATATACTGTTTTTGTTGGTAATAAAACAACATACTGTCTTTCTACTCAATTGGAAAGCTATGGTGATCTCCTTTCTCCTTTGTTAATATTTTGCAGTTATTAATGTCCCAAGTAACGATTCAGTTAGCAGCAAGTTCAAATTCAAGTAAACGGGATTGCTTTCCTGTATCAAAGTGGGCAGTTGTCTGAACTGTTGTTTGTAATTTTGTGCATCTGCAATTCCTTGGAGCAATTTCACAGCAAGATGAAGTCGTTGAAGGTGAATCTAGCGTTGGTTTATTTAACAATAAATAGTGTATCCCAAGCAAGCAGCACGAGTTGAACTGGTTTGTTATAGGGATGTACTCCTGGACTATTCTATATTCTTTGTACTCCAATTTTACCAATTCCGGATAATAATGGTGTTCCCCTAATTTGGTGAAAGAAACAAAAGTAAAATTAGATAAACCGAACTTCATCAGTAGTGTCATACCCAAAGTCTCTACTGCAGCATCTCTTCTACTTCTTGAACATATCAAAGTTGGTCGGCAGCTACTCTTCTGCAGGGCATAGAAGTGTTTTTTAATTATTAGTTTCAGAGCTGTTTTGCGTTGCCGTTGATGAGTCCTTGAGGTTTTTTTTTTCTTAAAGTTTTTTGAGTTTTTGCTGTTATAGTTAGAATTGTTATGAACTGCGAAATAAAGATCATTTGATTGGAAAAATCTTTCAGTATAAAGAGGTTTACATTTATTCTAATTATTAATGTTATACTGTGCAGTACAGTTAAGACTGCACAAATATATATTTTTTTTAATTTTAATTTTAAAGTGTTATTATTATGTAATTATTAGAAGTTGGAGTTAGAACCTTGGAGTTCCATTCGGAGTCTTAAGTTTTAATTAAGGCTATCACCTGGTCACTGGAGGTTTGACCGTTTGAGTTAGAATTGAATTACGATCCAATTCTTTGATTTTTGACACGGAGGGCAGAAAGCGATAAAAATCCTCTCTTGCATGCAGACCGTCATCCCACGTGTTTACCTTCGAAGCTTAGTTGTTTTTTAAGAAAAACACGAAAAGCACTTATACGAGGAAAGGTATAAAATAAAGAACCCAAAATATAACATATAAAATATGTTATACAAATTGAATTGCACATACTAAAAAAATCACTCAAAATAAAAAATTTACCAGTGAAACCAGAAAAAGTAGTCAAAATTTTTTTTTATAATTAAATAAATTATACAAAAATAAATAACCCTCCATTTTTTCTAAATCCCTCTACACCTTACCAACTCAAAATTCAAACTTAAAAATTTCAACTTAAAATCTCAAACTCTTAACTATTTCTCATCCATTGGAGTTAGAAAAGTAGTCAAAATATTAGATAAAACCTCAATTTAGAGTTATAATAAAAAATTCAGACTTCCTACTACAAAACAACTAAGGTTAAAACTTCATTTTAATCCCTAAACTATTGTATGGACCCCCGATTTAGTCCCTAAACTAAAAAAATCCCTGATTTGGTCTCTACTGTTTACCATTTTAACCCCAATTTGGTCCTTCCGTTAAATATCTGCCTACGTGTCTTGTTACTTGACAGGGAAAAGGATGACATGTTAAAACATTTTGACACCTAAGATGTATAGCGTGGCAAAAAAATGAGATGGCAAGAAATTGCCTTAAAAAATTTCTTTTTTTTTTTCTTTCTTTGTTTTTCTTTTTTCCCTTTCTTCTTCCTCTCTCTTTCCTTTCACCTTTTGCAAACCCTAACACTTCCTAATATTAAATCCGAGAATCACAACAAACCAACATATAGAAATCAATAGATCCTTCGATCCAACTGCAGTTGGGTTGGAAACAAAACCCAACGCTTGCTAGGTTTGAAATCGAATCCAGCACCTGCAAGAATACGAGGATAACACAACAGATAAAAAATCCATAAATAGATTGAACTCAACAGATCCATCGACCCAATGACTGCTGAGTTTGAAACAGAACCCAACAAACAACAGATCAATAAACAAATGGAACTCAACAGATCCATGGATCCAACGGTTGCTGGGTTCGAAACAGAACCCAGTGCCTGCTGGGTTCGAAATCAAACCCAGCACCTTCGAACCCAGCACCTGCAGGAACCCAGCTTGAACACAGTGCTTGCTGGGTTCGAAATCGAATCCAGCACTTGCAGGAACCCAGCGGCTGCTGGGTTCGATTGCTTGCTGGGTTCGAAATTGAACCCAACACCTATGCCTTTTTCATCTTCATCCACTTGCAAAAACCCAGCGGCTGCCTTGCCTTCTTCATCTTCATCAATCAATTTCTCATATCATCAAACAACAAAACCCAAACAAAGAAAACAGAAATTCTTTTTTTTTTTGGAACCCACGGCTGGGTCTTAAGGAACCCAGCGCCTGGGTTTGACCAAATCCAGGCGTGCTGGGTTCCGCTGAAGTCGAACCTAGGCCGCGCCTGGGTTTCGCCGAAGTCGAACCCAGGTCGTGCCTGGGTTCAAAGGGGGAAAGAGAAGGGGAAGGAGAAAGAGAAAAGGAAAGAGAAGGAAAAAGAAAAAAAAAATTTTAAGTTTTATTTTTCATAATATTTTTTTATAGGTTAAATACCCTTTTTGGTCCCTCTACTATAGGAAAAAGCCCCTTTTTAGTCCTGTACCAAAAAAATCCCCTTTTTGGTCCTTACTGTTCACAAATCCGGCCCCTTTTTAGTCCTTCCGTTAAATTTTGCTCACGTAGCACGTTAACTTAACTGAAACAGCTGACGTGGGTATGCCAATGTGTAAATTTTGCTCACGTGGCACGTTAAATTTTTCCACATCACCTCCCACGTCACTCTCCACTTCCTCCGGCCTTTTTTCTTTTTTCTTTTTTCCCTTTTACCCCCAAGCGAACCCAAGAGCCTGGGTTCGCGAGGAACCCAGCAACATTGGGTTCATCGCCAACCCAGCAACATTTCCATGTCAGTGTCACCTGCTCCAAATCAATCCACAAACAAGCACAAAAATCACTACACAAATGAAATGCTTCTTTTTCATGAGATTAACTCAATCAATTCTCGCACCCAAACTAGCAAGTCTTCCAACAAAGTCAAAAAAATCCAACCCAGGAGCTGGGTTCACGATGAATCCAGGCTCGTGGGTTTGTGACGAACCCACGAGCTGGGTTCGCGATGAACCCAGGCTCTTGGGTTCGCGACGAACCCACGAGCTGGGTTCATCGCGACGAACCCAAGCTCTTGGGTTCGAGCTGGGTTAATCGCGACGAACCCAGGCTCCTGGGTTCGCGACAAACCCACGAGCTGGGTTCATCGCGGCGAACCCACGAGCTGGGTTTATCACGACGAACCCACGCTCCTGGGTTTGTGACGAACCCACGAGCTGGGTTCATCGCGGCGAACCCACGAGCTAGGTTCATCGTGACGAACCCACGCTCCTGGGTTCGCCTAAAGGTAAGAAAAAAAAAATAAATAAGAAAAAAAAGGCTGAAGGAAAGAGAGGGTGGAGAAGAAAATAAGGGTAAATTGGTAATTAAAGATAAAAAATTTGGCCATGTCATCGAGTTTTGCCACATGGATTTCATACGTAATTTAAGTAAAGAAAAAAATAAAATTTTCCATTAATTAACTTGCCACATCACCTAAAATTTAACGGAATGACTAAAAAGGGACCGGATTTGTGAACAGTAAGGACCAAAAAGGGGATTTTTTTTGGTACAGGGACTAAAAAAGAGCTTTTTCCTATAGTAGAGAGACCAAAAAAGGTATTTAACCTTTTTTATATTATTATTTTTTCCATGTTATCACTTTTTTTAGTCTTATTGTCTTCCATGTGTATTAATATTTGACATGTCATCCTTTTCCCGTCAAGTAACAAGACACGTAAGCAGATATTTAATGGAAGAACCAAATTGGGATTAAAATGGTAAACGGTAGGGACCAAATCAGGGAATTTTTTAGTTTAGGGACCAAATCGAAGGTCCGTACAATAGTTCAGGAACCAAAATGGAGTTTTAACCAACAACTAACCCTCCCTAGAAAAAGAAATTATCACTACATATAACATATTTTTAAAAGCCTGTATTTGCTGGGATTGTGCCGCCATTTATCGGTTCTGCGCAAGACCAGCCACAGCCTCTCCCTAGTTATCGTCATCTGCAGTATCTTTGGCTTGGTTGGCACTGTACTTGTTGGCATTCACAGCTCTAGACTCTCTTTGTGCTCTGGCTATCTCCAGTGCAAACTGGATGGCGCGGGAAACACAAGCCTCCATATGCTGGTAAAGTCAGAGGAAAAGAGTTGCTACTCAAAAAAATTGAGGAAGAAAATAAGGAAAAAGCAGTGGGAAAGAAAGAGAGAGAATTAATTCTGCACATTAACCTTCTCAAGCTTCAGAACATCAGTTGTGCCCTTTATACCCAAGGCTTGCTTGTCATGTGTGGCCTCCCTCGATTCAGCACCCCCAGCAGTGGAAAGCAGATGATTCTGGGTGACCAGTTCTGTGGCAAATTGGCGGATTGACTGGCAAGTACTGGACGTGAAGCTGCTAGAAGTGCTACTTGTTGGGGAACATGCCTTTTTTGCAGGTCTTTCGGGAGGTGGGAGAGGAAAAGCATCAGTCTGAAACAATATGGAAAAGGAATTAGTGGTCGAGAGTTAGAGATTAACAATCAAATAGTGATGTATCACAATTGTCATAAATCTTCAATGTTACCAGGCTTAACCCCATTAATAAGGAGAAATTGACAACATACAGTAACACAATAACTCGGTCATTATTCTAAAAAACTACTAAATGGGGAAAATTTACAGTACCACAAGAAAAAGATCAACTATCAAAGTTCCATTCCATTCAAGAAGCACACTAGTGCTACACCAAAAAAGACAAAAAGGAACAAAATAAAAGCTGTGCATCAGACAAGAATTATCATTTCTCATCAAGAATTTTCGCATCAGATAAATCATCAATCATAAACTTCAAATCCTGCAATGCCATGAACATTGTAGATAATTTATATCCATATATAAACAATGAATGATGCACATCAAATAAGAACTATCACACTCCATGACAAAAAGTAGTCAGCTAAATCTCCAGTCCATCAACATATTCTTCTGCAATGCCAGAAACAGAGAACTAAGAAATGAAAAGTAGAGAGCCTGAGTTGCAGATAATTTGATTCCTATCCACAAGCAATGAAAACGTGCATTGTCGTACCTCTTCTTCAGAATCTATGTCCATATGATCCACCGGACTGTCAATGTCCGTTGGACTGTCAATGTCCATTGACATATTCTCCTGTTATGTTAGAAATAGAAAACAGAGAAAAATGAGATACAAAGCTTCAACAATTGTTGATAATTTATTTCCACCCACATCAACAGGTACAGTAAACATGCAAAACATAAGATGTGCCTAGCTTTTCCACTCTCTCTTCTCTTCCCACAAGAAGGTCAACCTAGTGATTAAGGCCTTTTCTTCCCACAACAAGGTCTACCTAGTAATTAAGGCTCCGTTTAATATAATTGTGGTTTTTGGTCTTCAATTTTGATTTTCTTAAATTTTGCAACTACTAAAAACCAAAACTTAAAAAAATAAATAAATAAATAACAATTTGTTTAAGACAACTTTTAACATTGATAACAAAAAATGTAAACTTGTTTAATAGTATTAAAACTACTTTTGTTCTTATATTTCTGGTAATCATGATAATATGCCGCACAAACACGTAAAAGTAAACAGTTTTATGCTTAAAGTTGCAAAATTTATAAAAACCAAGAACTACAGCCATACTAAATGCAGTCTAAGAAATTATAAAGCAGCTGATAGCACTCCATTCATCATTTTGAAGAATTATTTAAAAAAATCTAGAGAAAGAACACATTTTGCTACTATTCATATCCATAAATAGAAGAGAAAAAGAGATGAAGATAGAGATGCTACCATAAAACTTTTTTGTTTCTCGATCTTCCGCTCCATAGCAGTAATCTTAGATTTAACTCTATCGATCCTCTGCTCCAAAGCAGTTTCCTCAGATTTAAGTGTCTCGATCCCCTGCTCCTTAGCAGTAACCCTAGATTTAAGTGTCTCGATCCCCTGCTCCAGAGTAGTAACCACATAGTTTTGTGTCTCGATCTTCAGCTCCAAAGCAGTATCCTTAGATTTGATTCTCTCGATCTCCAGCTCCAAAGCAGTAACCTTAGATTTATCTCTCTCCTTCTCCAGCACAGTAATGTTAGATTTAAGTGTCTCAATCTCCTGCTCCGAAGCAGTTAAAAGTTTCTCTTTCTCCTTTACCAATTCTTCATTTGTATCTTTTAGACCTTTCAGTTCCGTCACAAGTGCTTCCAGCTGAATCCAAATGTGAAGAAACATAAATATAAAAATTAGGTAAATAAAAATAATCATAAATTAAGAAGATGAAAATGGAGATTTCATACTAATTTCTTTACCTCTTGATAATTGTTACCAGCCTTTATCTTTCGTTTTCTCTTAATGCCTCCTTTTTTTCGTTGGTGAAGCGAAGCCTTCCCTTCAACCTCTACCATCTTCCCTTTACCACCTCTTTTGGATCTGGAACTTTCAGGCTGTTCCGGCTGTTGGACATTCGGTTCTTCAGTTTCATCAGAAGAAGAAGTTCCATTTACAGGCTTCTTCATCTTAGCAAAGATAGGAGGTGAGATCACAAGAGATGATCTCTAGAGAGAAGAACACTTCGTGAGAAGGAAAATATATCCCCGAGAATGGGCATCCGTCCACGTAATCCAGGATAATCTCGTCCCTCCATTTTCCTTTTCACAGAGGAAATTCTGGACCGCCCGATTACCATATTCGGGGCCCGAGGAATAGATTCCTTACCGTCCCGACCCGAGCGTCCCCTATTCAGCATAATCAGCATTCACGCTGCAATCACTGAGCGCCACGTGGAACTGAGATGCCGTACCGACGACGGCATCAACAAAATTACCGAATGGCAGCCCAAAATGGTAATTTGGTAAGTACCATTTCGGCTGCGGTCCGGCAATGGCACTTGAAGCCCATTACCAGACTTACCGGATCCTACCAAGCCCACCGTATATATTATTTTATTTAATTTCTTACTAACTGTGCATAAATAGAAATTAAGTTTCCATTCTCATTTAACCTTTTAAATGAAACCAGTCTAACCTAAGCATATATTTGGATAAAAATTAGTAAAGAAAAGTGAAGGAAAGGAAGGAGAAGGGAAGGAGAGTAAAGAATTAATATTAATTTTGTTTGGATAAATTAAAAAAGAGGAAGGAAAAGATTATATTTTTTTATTTAATTAAATAAATTAAAAAAATAATTATAAAATTAATTAAGATTTTATAAATTTATATATTAAAATTAAAGTTAAAATAAAAATTTTAATTATATTTTTTAAATAAAAAAATAAAAAAAAGATCAAATTCCTTTAAATTCTTTCAAATTAGAGGAATTAAAAATAAGAGATTTAGAGAGAGTTCATTGTCTCTCCATCTACCTTCCACTCTGTCTCCTTTCCTTAATGACTTATCCAAATAAGAAAGAGGAAAAATCTCTTTTCTTCACTCTCCTCCTCTTCATTCTTAACCCTCTCAATCTAAACAAAGGTTAAGGATATGTTTAAATAAAAATTAATAAAAAAAAAATGAAAGGAAAGGGATTGGAGGGAAGAAAGAGGAAGGGAAGCTAAGTAAAGGATTAGTACTAATTTTGTTTAGGTAAATTTTTAAAAAAAGTTCAAAAGAGAGGGGAGGGGCAGGTCATATTTTTTTTATTTAATTAAATAAATTAAAGAAAATCAATTATAAAATTAATTAAAATTTTATAATTTTACATATTAAGATTAAAATTAAAATTTTAATTATATATTTTTTAAAAAAAAAAGTAAAAGGAAAAAATAGAAGTAAATCAAATCTGTCCAAAAATCTCTTGAATGGAAGGATTTGAAAGGAATTCATTACTCTTTCTTCTATCATTTTGCTTCTTTTAATGAGTTTATCCAAACAAAATAAAGGGAATACCACTCCTCCTTTTCCTCATTCTCCTCTCTTTTCCCTCGTAACTTCTTCAATCTAAGTAGAGTGTAAAATTTTTTTTACAATCTCACCTCGAATTGAGATCTATTACCCACTCAAAGTAAAAATCCAACGAACTTCTCTTTCTACCCTCGTAATTAAAAGATTCAAAACACAAGTACAATGTCTAAGTTAGTGAGCTTCAGTTTATGTTCTCTCTACATTCCCTTCTCAATTGTTTTCATTCCTATTCCCTTTCCCCTCAAATCTCAGACCAGTCGGTGAACGAAAAAAGGGGGACTGACAAACGAAAATGAAGGCACGACAGCAAGTTTAGAAGCTCTCAACTACATTTTTTTTTTTTTTTTAATTTTCAAAATTTTTGAATTGTTTTGAATTCTTGATGAGTGGGTTTCGTTTAAAATAGCAAAGACTCTTCCATTTTTCGTCTGGGTTTTGGTTTTATGATGAAAGACAAATAGATTATGGAATGAGATTGAGAAATTACTGAAAGACTAAACTGAAAATTTATGGTTAATTTTGGGACTGTAATGGCATGGAATGTGGATTACCAATTTTTCCTCAACCATACCGATTGCCAAAAATGTCACAATTGATATGGTATTGACCATTGTTGTCAAAATCTAGATTTAAATTTTAAAATCTTACGATTTTACGATTTCAATAAGACATTTCGTGTAAAATTTATATTAAAATCTGAAATTTATAAAATCTGGAGATTTCACGGTAAAATCTAGATTTTATCGTGAAATCAAGTGAAATCAGGTAAAATCTCGATTTTACCTTTTATTTTGGCAGCTGGACTTTTAACCTATTTCCTTTTGGACTTCTCATTTTGGGTTAGTGAGTTTTAACTAGATAACCTATAAATTAAGCTCATTTTTCATTTTAAAAACTCACAACCCACACAACCCAACCACAAATCAACATTTTAATCAAGAATTCAGGATAAATTTGATTTAACCATCTAAAATTCTAAATTTAAGTCATCTTCTTCGTTTAATTTATTTGTGTTGTTGGATATTTAGATTTTA